GAGAGAGAGAAGGCCCTTCCCCATTTGGGGACACCCCTGCCTAGATGGAGTTTGTATACGCTTCTAATAAACGTCTACATTTATTAAAGAAATCTGTTAGTCCACAAATTCTTCAACTTTGTTGGACAAGAACCCAGGAGAAGAATCTGCACCCTGAACCTCACATTTCAACAGTAACAATCAATAAACATAGAGAGGAAGAAAGAATTAGAAAAGTCATCATTTGGCAAACATTGTAATAACTGACTCCGGCAAGAATCACCAATGGATGTTAACACTCAAGAGTAAATGCTTAATATGGAACAGAGTGAGGAATCTCGGAGGGAAGGTGAGAGAGGGTAAGTGGGTGGAAGGTAACCAACTAAGGACCTTGTATGCATATATGCATGGCCCATGGACACAGACAATGGGGCGGTGACGGCAGGGGGTGGGGGCGGACTGGAGGAAAAAAGGGGACATATGCAATACTTTCAACAATAAAGATTTATTTTTTTAAAAAAGAGTAAATGCCGCCGAAACCGGTTTGGCTCAGTGGATAGAGCATCGGCCTGCGGACTGAAAGGTCCCAGGTTCGATTCCGGTCAAGGGCATGTACCTGGGTTGCGGGCACATCCCCGGTGGGAGATGTGCAGGAGGCAGCTGATCGATGTATCTCTCTCATCGATGTTTCTAACTCTCTATCTCTCTCCCTTCCTCTCTGTGAAAAATCAATAAAATATATTAAAAAAAAAAAGAGTAAATGCCTATATACCTTCTCAAACAGTATCTCCAATAAGATAAATTTTAATTAGAAAAAAAACCACAGTGATTTGACAGTACAGAAATCTAGCAGACATCATTTTAACCAAATGATCAATGTTAATGCTGTCTGTAATGGGACATATTGACAGTATGTGCTCCTTGATATGATACACTGAGAACTTGGCATTACTTCTGTGGTATTCCAGATAAAAGGAATGTGAATCTAATCATAAGAAAACACCAGACAAATCCAAACTAAGGAACATTCTACAAAATAACTGTCCTAAAATAATGATAACAATAATAAAATAACTGTCCTGAACTCTTCAAGAATTTTTATGCCATGAAATACATGAAAGACCCAGAGACTGCTCAAGTTAGACTCTAAAGCGATACAAGAATACCCGTTGTCTAATATGTTTCAGGCTCAGATATATATTCAAGGTTACTTGCCATGTTTCTACAGAAAAAGAACCGGATAAATATTTTATTTTGTATGTTTCAGATATTAGTCCTTTGTTGATTTTATTTTTACTTATTTTAGAATTTTTATAAGAGTTTATTTGAGACAAACTGAAGACATATGTTGGGAACCAAATCTCAAACGCTCCCCTCTGTTGGTTTTATTTTTTTTGGTATTTTTTAATTGACCTTTTTTTTTTTTAATTGAGAGAGAAAGGAAAGGGGGAAAGAGAGAAACATTGGTGGGAGAAACATCAATCGGTTGCCTCCCACATGCACGCTGACTGGGGATTGAACATGCAACCCAAGCAGAGTATGTGCCCTGACTGGGAATCGATCCCGCCACCTTTTGGTGTACAGGACAATGCTCCAAACAACTGAGCCACACCAGCCAGGACCCTGTCTTTGTTGACATTTGCAAATGTCTTGTTCCAGCTTTCATCATTACCTTTGTCAATAATACTATTAAACAGAAATCCTTAATTTTGGTACAATCTAATTAGTCAATTTTACCTAGGGTATGGGGAAAATGTTTTTTATATAAGTTTATTTGAGCCAAGCTGATAACATATACAGTGTAGCAAGATCTCAAATGCTCCCCAGATAAAGATTTTAGATGCATTGCATTCTTTTATCTAAGAGACAAATTTATCCCTTCCTGTCATTACCATCTTATAGCAGAGAAAGAGAGTTGCCTGAACCTGTCCAAAATTTCTTTATAAAATATTTAGAGAGAGCAGCAAGGGATGATGCGAAGAACAGAGGACTAGAAACCAAAAGACCTAAGTTCAACATTTGTGTGCATCCGCACATACTTATGCATACTTTATTTAACTTCTTAACTTCTCCATTTGCAAAACAGAAATAACTGTACCACATGATTCACAGGGATATATGGAAGGTAAAATAAAGTTATGTGAAAAGATACCCTAATTGTTAGGTATTCAAAAAAGAAAACAAACGAACACAAATTGTTAGTTTAGGTATTCAGAGTAAGCAATTACTGCCCTCAATGGATAGAGCATGGGCCTGTGGACTGAAGGGTCCCGGGTTCGATTCCGATAAAGGGCGTATGCCCAAGTTGCTGGCTCAATCCCCAGCAGGGGACAGTCGGTCAATGATTCTCTCTCATCATTGATGTTTCTATCTCTCTCTCTCCCTTCCTCTCTGAAATCAATAAAAATATATTTAAAACAAGAAACAAACAAAAAAACCCCTAAAAACAAAGAAAGCAATTGCTACTATGTATTTATTGCTTATAATTTCCAGCCTCTCCATTTTTACACATGCTGTTTCCTTCTTCCTATATTGTCCTCATACAATCTGTTAAGAATGTCAAAATGACAGAAAACAGTAAATATTATTTGTTAGTACTTTTTAAACCTTCCTGGGGAGAATGGGGCAATGAAATACATTTTTTCTTCAATAAAATCTCACTTTGGGTTCCCAATTATCGAACAGATACAAGAATTTCTGTAAGTAAACAGGGCAAGAGACCAGAGGCCTGCTTGTTAGGTATCATCACCTTCCAGCACAGTAGCTCCTGAAACATTTCAAGAGAACACCAGAGCTCTCAAAAATAGTTTAAAAATCTATGTTCTAAATAGAGGCTTCATTTCACAGTTTAAAAACTACAGCTCCAAAAAGGTAAAGTGATTTATGTACAGGCTTTCTACTGGTTAAGAACTGGACAAACAGGAAAAGAATACAGGTCTCCTGACTGCCAATCTAAGTGGTCTTTTCAGGTATCTAGTACCAGCCTCTTTCTTTCCCTGAATTCCACATCACTTCATCTCCAGGTACCTTTGATTTTTATTTTGTACTATTTTATGTATAAGTCTCTGCTCTAGAAGGCTGAGTTCCTAGAGAAACTTGTCTGATTTACCTTTGTAATCTCACTGTGCCTAGCATATAGAAAGTACTCAAATGTGTAGAATGAGTAAAGGTCCAAAGAATACAGTGATGACCAGTTATTCTTTACCTACTGACCTGGGATCCAAGCATTTCACATTTATCCTTGCCCAGAACTCTAAAAAAAATCTCCAGCACAGTCAAATGGAGCTGCTTAGTATTTACCACCGTGATTTGAAAACTGACATCTTAGCTTACAAAAGTATTCCTTGGTTTGTCAAAATCCTACCTAATGTTTCAATGCCCAACTCATATTTCTTCTGTTATATATTCTTCCCAATCACTCCTGTCCCAGTGTTTGTGCTCCTCTGAATGTATTATTCTTATCCAGATTCCTTTTGGGAGCAATTTACTCATGTATCCAGTAACACTGAATTGCTATACAATGGGGTCACATCTTAAAAAATGAGGGTTAGGTTCTAAAGTCAGAGTCTAAGGAAAAGTCAAAATTATGCTTAAAATTCCATAATCATTCATAAGCATGGTGAGAGAGAGACCCTAATGAGGGGCATGAAGGGACTAGGACTGCCTATGACAGCAGATAAGCATCTTATGTTTACTCTGGAATATGAATTCATTGAGTGAAACTTCTAGCAGAATCACCTGCACTACTTAATTGTTATTCCTCATAGGGATAAAGGGAGAAACCAATATAGCTGCCTCATGGGGATAAAGGAAGAATCAGTTGTATTATTAAAATGTCTCATCACTGAAGACTTCAGCTATAAAAATTATTAAAGGCAGTACTCAATTTTTTTTGGATGCTACATACTTCCTAGTACATACATCTATTATCTATTCATATAAAAGCCCAGCAACTCGTAGGATGGAACGACCAGTCGCTATGATGTGCACTGACCCCCAGGGGACAGACAACACAGAAGCTGCCCCCCTCATGGTCAGTGCACTCCCACAGCGGGAGCGCTGCTCAGACAGAAGCCGTGGCAGCATTAAGGAGCAGTGAGCCAAGTGGTAAGGAGCAAGCAGGCGGGTGGTTAGGAGTGAAGGGTCCTGGATTGTGAGAGGGCGCAGGCCGGGCCGAGGGACCCCCCCCAAACACAAATTTTGTGCATCAGGCCTCTAATTCATAAGAAGCATTTATCAATGATTAAGTTCCTCGCTCCCAGAGTTAACAATATTTTAAATAACCCTACAACCAAATATAATAAACGAGGCCCGGTGCACAAAAATTTGTGCACTGGGGGGGGAGGGGGTCCCCTCAGCCCGGCCTGTGCCCTCTCGCAGTCTGGGACCCCTCAGGAGATAACGACCTGCTGGCTTAGGCCTGCTCCTGGGTGGCAGAGGGCAGGCCCAATCCCTAGGTGCAGCCCCTGGTTGGGCTCAGAGCAGGGCCGATTAGGGAGTTGGGGCGCCACCCCGTCTCATGCACAGAGCAGGGAAGATCGGGAGGTTGGGGTGCCACTCCAAGTCACACTCAGGGT